GCCTGCAGCATCGAGCCTGTGCACTCACTGCATTCATGTGAAGCATGTTTCTGTGACTGTAACCGTTAGTAACGCCACAGCTCGGCAACCCTCACAAACATCCTTTCCCTTCGCTCCCACGGGAGGACGTGTTAGTGGCTTATTCGGGTTTTCATTCAGACTCGGGAGGTTGGATAATCAGAGTATAATTGCATGCAAAAGACAGGGAACAGCAGTAATTGGCACCTGATATCCCCTCTTCTCCTCCTCCGACAGAGCGGGATTTGAATAATCTTGGCAGTGGGGCGCACACACACCCACAGATAAGTGCTTCTCGAGGAAAAGAGCCGGAGGTGTCGAGATAAAACAGAAAGAAATGGAAAATGACACATGCAGGCGCTGATGGACACTAAATCCTTTCAAACGCTCTTTCTGCAGCCTTTTCATTTATTGCTTTTCCCGCCGCTTTGCTCTAACGTATGAATGGCGGTTGGAGCGTTTTTACGGAAGTGTTGGTAACGCGGGAACAAAAGCCCTCCTTATCTTATTTTCTCTGGATGCCGATAAGAAGCCGACATGAAATCTGAGTGCAAGTGCATCAAAGTCAAGAGGGGAACACAGACGTGTGCAGATATGAAGAGACATCACACGCACACGTGTGATCAGTGCGTGAAGCGTGGGATCGCCATCGTTAGCAGCTCAGCTGAAATCTTCCAGAAACTGTCGTCGGGTGTTAGAGCTGAATCAACGTTTCCCTAAAGGTTCACCAGTGTTCTGCTACAGGCAGGGGCGTGTCCAGAGGGGCCTCCAGGGGGCTGGCCCCCTCAGGTGCCTGCGCTTTGCTGAAGTTTTAATGTTCCTGTGCTTCATTATATTTTAGATTCCTGAAAGTAGCCTTTGCTTTGTTGACAGCGCTGCAGACTCTTGGCCAATGAGCTTCATGATGTCGTCACCTGACTTGGTTTCACCTCACAGGTGAGCCCGCCACGGTTCGTTGGTGGAGTTTCGTGCCTTCTTAATGACGTTGGGACCATCAGTTGTGTGCAGAAGTCAGGTTGGTGCACAGCTGACAGCTCGGTTTGACAACTGTTAGAATTCAATCAGCTGAGTAAAGAGAAACAACATCATCATTACTTTAACTGAAGGTCAGTCAGTCAGAAAAATGCTAAAACTTTAAATGTGTCCCCAAGTGCAGTCGCAACCATGAAGACTACGATGAAGCTGTCTGACATGAGGACGCCCCAGGAAGGGAAGACCAGGAGTCTCCTCTGCTGCTGAGGGTAAACTCATCCGAGTCACCAGCCTCAGGAATCGTTAGCAGCAGCTCAGATTAGAGCTCAGATAGATGCCTCACAGAGCTCCAGCAGCAGACACAT